GTGTGTGAATATTCTATTTTTGGATGCATTAATCTAGAATCCTTAAATTATATTATCTGCTATGGATATTTAAAATAATTTTTTATTTACAAGGATATAATTATATTTAATATGTACAGAAGACTATTTCACTTAAACACGTGACTCATTAGATGTTTTTGAAAAAATGTCTTAAGGAAAATTAATTTTTTACACACACACATAAATAAATAGGTAGGTACTTAATGTGATTTTAGAGGTATAATATTATACATTTATATCGACATTTGAATGCAAGTGTATACAAGTATTTTAGAAACTCCGATCATTCGATCGCCGTATATTTCGAACACTGTTGTACCAAAATAACTCAGTCCACCGCCACGCCGCCTCCATATATATATATATATATATATAAACCTGCACCGGTGCGGTGTGGTCATCATCACCTCTGCGGGCACGAGTCGGCCACCGCGAAGCTACGGGGCTGGAGGTTCATGGACGCCGACCTGGGGGGGCTTTGGCGCGCCGGCGGTTTTTCGGCAATCGGCGACACCGACTTGCAGTACCTGAGCGACGTACCAGCGACCGCGGCGGTCGAGATGCCGGCCGCGGCGGCTGACTTGCGGTGGTTCTTGCCGCGGTGGTCAGCCCGCCCGACCGCCGGCGTCCCGTTGTCGCAGCGTTGCAGCTGTTTGGCCGCGTCGCGTTTCTGTTGCTGCAGTTGTCGGTGTTGCTGCAGCGTGTTCCCGAAAGCCGACGCGGACAACAGGCGGCTGCCGCCGGCCGCCACGGCCCTGGCCACCGCGGCGCTCGTACCGCCGCCGGCACCGTCGTGGGCCGCGTTTTGTTGCTGGAGCTGGTGCTGTGGTTGCTGTTGGTGCCGGTTGGACACGCGAAAGCTGCTAAAGTTCACCAACCGGCCGGGGTGCGTGCGATGGTATTGCGACTTGGTGCGCGTCAGGTTGTTGTCGCCTGCAACATCTGTAACACGTGTACGCGCGCGCCCACATCAGTCTAGCGTCATCGAACAGCAATGTAAAGTAATGTGATTAATGTTGTTGTTTCCGGGTACGACACAATYAATAAATACTTTACGATTAATAGTGAGCTAATGGTAATACCTAGTGCCAGTGTCGTACTAAGATCTGAATTTCGGGTGGGGTGGGAATAATTTTTAATTTTTTTTGAAAATTGGATCACCTGAAACCTGAACAAAGCATATATCGTTCATTTTAATAGACTACTAATTTTTATTCGTGCTATTTTTTTTTTATTTACATGTGCCACCCTAAATTTTGGTTTTCTCAAAATAAAAAAATTCATTCAAGTTTGTTTTTTTGGAGGGGCGAGAGGGGGGTTAGGTTATTCAGTTCTTAAATATATTTCAAAATGGGTTTCAGCCCAAAATATTCGTGAATGTACACCTGCGTGTACGACTTTACACAAGCTGAGGATATAATAATAATATAATATATAATATAATATAATAATATAATATATGGGTCATCATTGTAGTGACTAATAGTAGAGCATGCAACAGTCTTAATCGTATGGTTACCACATCCACGATACTATACAGACAMCGATAAATATAATATAAAAAAAACTTGGCAATCCGAAATATATTTCGTTGTTCCCCCATATAAATAAATCAATCTCGACACCTGTAGTATATCCAAAAGTGCTAGTGTTGTGGACATTTAAAATTTATTGCTACCCAGTGTAGTGTACATCATAAAAATATATCATAATATGCGTAGGTAAAATTGCATTTATAAATAGTAAAGACAGGTTTTTCAAATATTAATGTTTATATTTTTAACGTATTACGTAACGGTAATGTTGTACACTGATACCAATACTTATATAGTTAGACATATTTTGCACGTGATCTGTAAAGCTAAAACTTTTTTTTATGCCGAGTTAATTTAAAATCACCTCAACTGCAGCAGACGTGTTAGAAATGTTAAAATGCAGGTTAGCAGATGCAGTACTCAATTGTTACGGGCTCCATGCCATCGTGCAATAAAATACAAAAATGGTATGTATAATAATACCTATATATATATATATATATGATAAAAATGAGTGTACCTATATATAAACACCAATCAGACGTCAACAATCAATTGAAAATATGATATATATTATATACCTACAATTCGTTCATGAAAACAGTGCTCAAGGTTAACTAATATCGAATCAAACGAAATCGACCTATTTTGTTGTTTATAGAAATATCAAGTATTACTTGAAAAATCCAGTTTCGAAGCAGGGGTCTTTAGTTCAGTCTTCAGTGATAAGTTAAAAAGAAATATAAGTCAWACTGAAAATATTATTGATACTCATATTTAGACGTTATCACACCTGAAATTAACAAACTGTAAATTAAAAACTAACCACGATAACGAGTTTGCAGCGACCGATGACTTGACTTTAATAAGTGAGTTACGATTACTACTACAAATTAAATAAAACAAAAATATGATCAGCGAGGCATTATGTCCCATTAGTCATTGTATACTGATAACCCACAACCGTTTTCCAATTGCTCTTACACAACTCGCCTTGTAAATGCTGTAATGAGGTAAATTCGACATATAGTCACATATTTATTTTCATACACAGTATTTGAATGATGTTATATTTGATTGATCCGCCCCTATATAATCTATTTTAAGAATACTACAAAAAAAAGATTTTGTCAAATATATTAGGTAAATATAGTTTAATTTGCATTTTTAATAAAATATTTTTTAGATTTTATAGATGTTGTCTCATATTTTTTCCTAGGACGCTTCAGCAGTCACCACCGCTAAAATAGTTATAATAAGTTTAACTATAACAGGTAAATACAACTAAGTTACTAGTAACAACTAAATACACGATCTCAAGCTTACCTAATAGTTTACATGACATGACAAAAAAATMATTTATGATATGAATATAAATAAATAAAAAATCTACAGACAATAATATAATACTGTCCAGGATAAAAAATTCAGGATAGACTAGTTGTAAGAAAAATTTCTATATAATGTATAATCACATATTTTTCAAATTTATGGTCATTCATAATTATTACTAATAATTAATATTTATACTATTATTTAAGAATTCATATTTTGGGTATATTATGAGGGTTCAAAATCARGGTAGGCGCGAGACCTATCCACTATAGACAATAATTGGAGATGGTGTGTGGTGATATTTCACTCCTCATAGTTACTTCATTTGGTTGAATTAAAATTGAAATAAATGTTTTGGTAAATAGTATATGTGCGTATGTAGGCGAAATAGTTGCTTCGTTTTATTGGAATTCATTAAAAACGTTCAGCAAGTGACTACAAAGGAAATGACCGTGGTTGAAATACCGAGAGGAAAAAAATGGTTTAGCTATGTATATTTCGACATTCGATAAAACATTGACGGGCGATGTACAGAAGAACAGAATGTCATTGTTAACATTTTTTTATTCGACTRCGGTTTAACATAAAATTGAACTCAACGCGGACTCGCCTCATACCTTTTATTTGCATATATAATATATATAAAAGTATATTTTTTCTATTGGTTTTTCTCATTACATTAAAGATGCGAGTGGTAAAAAAAAACTTCATTCTCCTAAACGGTATAGGTAGGTTGTAGAAGAACTATAAATACATATATGATATATGAACACGTCACATTTAAAGGTAACTTAATTTGTTAACATAAAACACACGTTTTCACTTTGAAATTTCTTTCAATTTAACGGAGGATTGTAAACTCTAACAAAAATACATAATATATTTAATATATAGTATAGGTAAACCTTTCAAAAATATTAGACATGTACTATAAAAAAATTTTAATGCAAACCTATAATCTGTTGTATATTTGAGTACATAATTATCTACACATTTTACAAGATACTTGTATTCTTTACATAAATTTCAAAGTTAAATGTAATATTTTATTTAGTTACTTAAAATTAAAAAAAAAAAAAAATACAATGATTAAATAAAATACATAAAATATAATATTGTAACAAAAAAAATTTTTCATTATGTATTTTTCTGAATGATGAGCATGGAAATTGAACTTTTTGGAAATTGAGATAACGAACGTATATGAATAAAACACCTACATGCATAATTAAAATACAAGTTTAGAAAACGTGAAAATCCGAGAAAGTTTCAACGTTTTATTTTGTGATACATGAGGACGAGGAAGAGATTATATTAGCATATTATAACATAATATTTGTTATAATACTTTTACATAGAAATTATTTTTGTTTGGCAACCGAGCTGCAGCGCTCGTGACCAAATCATTATATTTTCTATAGGTGATGAATATATTATTATTATGTCTATAAAAGACTAGTGGACAACTGGTCTGACTGACAACGTTTTTTGGATATCTCATACGACCATTTTGTTCGTGGGGCCGTGTTGCGGTGTATCGTGTAAATATCGGTTTTATATTCTCCACGCGCATGTCATCATCATACATATTATTATATACATCTGCACCCGGCGTCTGATCATTCCTGTAATAATATTATGCATGTTTTGTTGAAAATAGGGGTGGTTGACGAAGTCCTGCAGAAAATCGGGTAACATCGTATTGAAAACCAAAGTAACAAATTTAATATAGAGCGATATTGAGCCAAATTGTTTACAATATGCAAATAATCGAGAGAGAACAGTTTGGAAAATTTTCAAGTATGATAATAATATGTTATGTTATAAACGGTAACAAATAATTATTGTGATATGCTAAATATTGTAAGACCACTCATTAATATTTTAACGATATATTATAATTTATAATTTATAAAAACATTTATCTGAACGTTTAAAAAACAAAATCATATAAATAGTGACACGTGAAAGGAATTTTTCAGATTTATTTATGTTTATACACTCGTGTCTCGTATTATGAACGACATTCCTTTCATACTAGCCCATTTTTTTTTTACAAATTAACCACAATTCCATGCTGTTTATTTGTCGATTTACTATTTTGTGATGTACACGATTTGAACTAC